ATTAGGGGAGTTTTTCATTTCTTTGCATATCTGTACTTTACACAGTTACATTTTTGTGTAATCTTTTTTCGAAATACAAAATTGACAATGGAGAATGTTCTTAATGTATTTTAAGTGAAAAAAGACAGTAACAATTATATATGGTATATTATCCCATTTTTGTGACAAACTGCAAGTGTACAGAGCAAAGGGACCAGTGACAGCTACTGAGGTGTCACTAGCACCAGGTCAAAGGGATGTAACATTAGTGTTTGCCCCTTATCGTGTCTCTCTTTTATAAATTCTCTACACTAAAAACATAAATTCTAAGTAAAAACAATGGAATGAACACAAACTCCCACCTCATAACACACTAAAATGACTGTAACCGAATTTTTTAAAGTTTTTAACCCCCCAAAATGGGAGAAAGGGGCAACAGCCACAGTGTCTGGAAAGGTGGGAGCGGATGGACCGTGGCAGACTGTCTGGCTGACCCAAGAAACCTGAACCCTAAACCAGCCACAGGGAGCTGAGACCTACCCTGATTTCTAGAATCTTCAAAATGCTCAGGAACTTCGCAGGAACGCAAGTACCTCTGGAAGGACAGGGGTGAAAATAAGGTAAATTAGTTGGAGCTTGGTTTGCGCAGCAGTTAGATCCCCATTTCTTCTCCTCAGGGTTGAGTGACACCCCCGCCCCCTCCAGCAGGTGGGATTTTTCCCTCTGGGGAGGGTATCTGGACCAAGAAACACCAGGCAAGCTGAGGGCAGCCGAACTGTCCCGAAATCAGGCACACTGAGCGACCAATCAACAGACTGCAGGCTGGAACGGAGACTCTTTCCTGGGCAAGCTGACCTGCCCTCCAAAATGTGACTTCACAAAAGTGGCCTGCGAGGCCCCCCGGAGCAACGATCAGCCCCTGGCCTTGTAGCGACCGTGCCCCCCCGCCCCGCACTCGCACGCAGCGCTCCCCTCTGCTTCAACAGAGCAGGACCCAGGATCACCTGACATCCAAGGAAAGCCTACAACATGAAAGAAGAAAATCAACATTTTTTTTTAAAACTTGGAGAAAATAAAGACTGCGTCGAGAGGGAAACTTTAAAAACATACACCAACTTTCAGTAAAATTCTCAGATCGCTAAGAGAAGGTGTCTCGATGAAACAAGAACACAGTGCTGTTAGAACACATGCACACATTCGGAGAGGAACAAAACGTCCTTGGGAAGAAAGATAAAGCTATGGAAATATCCTAGAGGAGAGGAATTTTTTTAAGTGGATAATAGGAGAGGAAAGAAAAGAAAATTCAAGGACCAGTCCAAGAGGTATATAGTCTGAAAATAGCAGTCCCAGTAAGAGAGAAGAGAATGGAGAAGGAAAAGTTATAAAATGTCCCGAGCTCGCTAAGTGTGGTTACAAAAATCTCTATAAGCGAGCAAAAGAAGGTGCAAAAGGTGTATATGATGCCACCTCATATGCAGAGACAAGGGAAAAATAAGACCACATATCCACAGTCGCTTGTATTTACACAAACTTTGAGAAGATGCAGACACACACAGTAAGAATAATAGTTATTTGCGGGGGAAGTGGGGACATTCCACTGACGTTTTCACATACATAGTTGGCCCTTGAACAACACGGGTTTGAACCACACAGGTCCACTTACACGCAGATTTTCGTCCGCCTCTGCCACCCCAGACACAGGAAGACCGACCCCTCCTCTTCCTCCTCAACACGAAGACGGTGAGGACGCAGGCCCCTGTGACGATCCACTTCCACTTAATGAATAGTAAATATATTTTCTGTCCCTTGTGACTTGCTTAATAACATTTTCTTTTCTCTAGCTTACTTTATCGTAGGAATACAGTGTATAATACATACAATATACAAAATACGTGTTAATCGACTGTTTACGTTATTAAGGCTTCTGGTCAACAGTAGGCTATTAGCAGTAAAGCTTCTGGACGGTCAAAAGTTACAAGCAGATTTTCAATTGTGCAGGGGGTCGGGGGGGTCAGTGTCCCAACTCCTGCAGTCTTGATTTTTGACTCATGTGAATGGAAGTACCTATTCAAAAATAAGTGAAAATAAAATAAGAGTTTTAATTTTTTTTAAAGAAAGACAGTTTAGCAGAACTCAAAGACATGTTTTCAGTTGGAAAGGGCCCCGTGTGTGGCGCAGTAGATGAAAACAACCACAGTAAGGCCCATCACTGTAAAATCTGGAGCGTGAGGACCTAGAAAAATCTCCTACAAATGTCCAGAAAGAGGCTGAGAAAAGATCTGGATTCAGAATGGTTTTGGACTTCGGAACTTCTGAAAGGGAGGGCAGTGAGGCAATAACAGCACAGGCCTTTCAAAGTCTAAAAGAAAATTATTTCCTGGCTAAAATTCTATCCTTGGCCAAACTGTCAAATCAAGTTTGAGGATAAAGACGTATTTAGATGAGTTCTCAAAAAACGTCCCTCCTACACACCCTTTATTAGACGCCATCAGAGGGCCTGCTACCCCACGGAAGAGCAAAGACCAAGGACTGGAAGAGCCACCAGGGCAGTGGTGACAGGTGACCTCGGACGACAGCCGTGCGGCGAGGTCAGAGGGCAGCTGCGCGTCAGAGCAGGTCAAAGGCGCCGGGGGAGACTTTGTTAGGAAGATGCAATTGTGAGAATAACTGATTTACCCAAATCTCTCGAGAGGAGATTTGTATAGCAGCCTGGAGGTTACGGTTCAATCACTGAGAAGAACGTAGAAAACTAAGCAAGTGGAAGAACAATCAACTCCAGAGGAAAGAAGTTTCGAGGGAAAATGAAAGCAATCACAGTTCCCCACGTTTCAGCTGTGACGACGTGCGTGTCATATGTAAACAGCAAACAACTCGGCTTCTGACCGACCCGACGACGGTCCGCCGCACTGGTGGGAGGAAGAGACGGAGCACGCAGCGGAGCGAGGGTGGGGAGCGGGGAGACTCGACCACGCATCCAGACCGCAGATGGCGCTGCACCGGGTGATCCGGAAACAGCAACTCGGGTTTAATCTGGACGCGCGGAGGGAGGCAACCGCCGAGCAGCAGCGGCAGTGGAGGCTCCCTGGAGAGGCCGCCGGGAGCGCAGAGGCTGCGGCGGAGCCCCGAGCCCCACCCTGCTGGCCGCGGCCGGCACAGTCCGCTCGGCACCGGCGTTCGTGGCGCGCCGGGGACGCGGCAGAGTCGGCACTTTGGCCCCGAATCCCCGCTTCCACAGGGCGGCAGGGCAGGCTCCGCCGAACCGGACACCGGGCCGGTGCCCACGTCCTTCACGCCCAGCCTCCTCCAGCTGGCGGCTGCGGTCACCTGCACACGCGACCGCCCCAAATGAAACTCCAGTGCGTTAAGCAGCTTCACTTACGGAAACGCTCGCCCAGCCCTGACTCCTGCTCGCTGGGCTTCCTTCCTTGGCCCGCGGAGACCAGAATCCGGGGACTCCCGGGGTAGCGGCCCCGCGTGCCCGAACTTCGCGGAGGAAGGACGGGCCTCCGGGCGCCGGGGCGGGGCGGGCGGGGCCGACGCCACGGGCTGCGGGGCGCACCTGCGCGGGCGGGGCCGGCGCACCTGCTGCGGTTCGCGCTGAGCACACCTGTGCGGCGCGCGGGCCCCGCCCGCGAGAAGCGGCAACGCGGGCCACCTGCCCGCGCGGGGCGCCCGGACCCCCGCGCCCACCTGGCCGCCCCCGCGCGGGCCGCGCATCCGGCCGCGCCGTTACGTAAGGCCGCGCCTATCTCCGCGGCCATCGCCCGACCGCGCCTCTCCCGCGGGGGCGCCTGCCCCCGACGCCCGCACGCACGGCTTCTGCCGCTCACGGGGCGGGGGGCGGGTGTTGACTCACGCGGCGGGGCTCTGGGACCTGCACGGCCCAGGTGGTTTCCCCGCTTCTTCCCCATCACGGAGACCCTGTGGGAGATGCCATTGGCTCCGTTCTACAGATTAGGAAACTGAGGCCCGCAGAGGGGTCACACCACCAAGCAGAGGCACGGGGGGCTCCCGGGGGTCAGGGTCTGCAGCTGGGCTGGGAAGCAGCGGGCGTGGACAGAAGACGGGATGGGAATCGTGTTCCCTGTGGGAAGAGAGCGTGGGCAAGGCTCACGTAAGGGTTTCCCAGCAGGATGGCTCACGGCTGAAGGCCGGGTGGGGTGCCTCGTGTCCAGGCTGCCCATACGCACAGTTATCATCAAAACTTCTAAAAATTGAAGGGGTCAGGCACAGTGGCATGTGCCTGTAGTCCCAGCTACTCAGGAGGCTGAGGCAGGAGGATCACTTGAGCCCAGGAGTTGGAGGCCAGCCTGGGCAACAAATTGAGACCCTGTCCCTTAAAAAAATAAATAAAGTTAAAGGTCCCAGGAGGATCCGTGAATCTGGCTGGATCTTTCCGTGGAGACCTGGGAATCTGAGCTTTCATAATCCTTCCCACAGTCGGGGCGAGGAGGAACTAGATAGGCCAAAAGTGAGCCTTATGCTTCTCCTTTCATCTTGTTTGAATTTTGTATCCAAAGCAAGTATTACAGTGGTAACTTAAGAGGCCAGTTCACTGAAAAAATAAACCCCCAAATTCCCACAGCTGGTAGACCACGGTCACAGCTGCAGTGCCAGTGAGACTCTGCCCAGAGCTTCCGGTGACCCACAGGGATCTGAGGACAGTGATCACCAGGCACAGCTGCTGGAGCCCAGACTGGCGCTGCTGAGGCCAGGATGCCCTCAGGGCTGCCCCCGTGATTAAGCCCATCCAGATCTGGAAACTCTGCCCCAGACCCTTCTCAGCAAGTCCACGAGAAATCAAACTCTTTCCTTTGTGCGACGCTGGATTTTCCACAAAGTAAAATCAAGATGAGTAAAGATGTGGTTTCTAGATAGTGCCCGAAAAAGCAGAGACCAGGGTGTCAGGCGTCACCACTTAGCCTATAAAAGCTGCCACAAGAGGCCAAGGCCACAAGCCGCTTAGCTTGGGCCAACCTACACGTCTGCTCCTCAACCCTCCTGTGTTGGCTCCAGGCACCATGGCGCTGTGGTTGACCATGGGCATTGCTCTCACCTGCCTTGGTGGCCTTGCCTCCCCAGGCCCCGTACCTCCCTCTACCAACCTCAAGGAGCTCATTGAGGAGCTGGTCAACATCACCCAGAACCAGAAGGTGAGTAGCAGCTGGCCAGGGGCCCAGCTCCGAGGGTGCCAGGGTGGGTGACTCTCAGGAAGAGTCACGAGCAGGCGGGGCCTGGTCCTCAGGGACCCCTGCCTGTGGGTCAGAAAGAAGCCCCACGGACCGGGGGCCAGGCCCACCCATGAGGGAGAGAGAGGAGCCAGGCTGGGGGGCACCGCAGTGCAGACGGACCCACAAAGAGGCTTGGCAGAGCCCCCAGGGACACCTCTCCCTGGTCGGGCCCTGCCCACCACCGCCCACTCCTGCTCAGCCACTCCTGAACAGAGGAACGCAGGGAGAGGCCGGCGGCCTCCTAGAACCACTTGGCATTTGTCAGCTGGATCTTGAACATGATAATGCAGCCTTATTCGCAGCATCTCAGTTAAGCCCATTCTCACGGCAGGATTCATCAGCAGAGCCAGCTCCGCCCCCCACTAGCGACAGCTCGCGCTGGCCTGGTGCTGGGTGCTTTACCTGTCATTTCCTCACTGCTGAGCCCTCCTGAGGCAGGCACGATGCCCCATTCTGCTGACTAAGGTTCAGGGAGAGTCACTGATGGAGGCCAGATTCAAACCAGGCCTGGCTCAACCAGTGTCCCTGCTCCTAACTGCCGTGTCCCCCACTGCAGAAGGCAGGGTGTTTAGCATGCCAGCCCCCCACCTCCCATCTGATTTGTCCTGGTCAACAGCAGCCCAGACCACCCCATCCCTCTCCCAACCCACCTGGCCCTTCCTGCAGGGCCCTGTCCCCTGCCCTGGCCAAGGCAAGCTCCAGATAGGGCTCGCCCCTTCCCAGTGGTGCCACTCGATTTCTCTCTCAGCTCCAAGAACCTATACGACGCGTCCCCACTCCCTGCCTGCTGGGGGATGAAGCTCAGGAGTGGTCGGGCTGCCAGGCCTGCTGCTGAGGGAGCCAGGGAAGCCTGAGGGGCCTGTGCCGCGGGGGCCTGGCCGGGCAGGCCTGCTCCCTTGCTGGCGCTCCGCTCACTGTGTCTTCCCCCCCCCAGACGCCCCTGTGCAACGGCAGCATGGTGTGGAGCGCCAACCTGACCGCGGGAGTGGTGAGGACCTGTGGGCGCTGGGGAGGAGGCGGCGGAGGCTGTAGGCCTTGGGCTTGTCTTCTCTGATCCTCCCGCACGCATCTGGGGGCCTCCAAGAAAGCTTCAAGAGCTCCCCTCGCCCCCCTCATAATCTGGGCCCTTCCCGACCACCCAGACCACCTGCGCCAGGCCTCTCCGCAGCCGCCTTCCCGTGAACTCACCGAAGGCAGCTGCCGGGCAGGACCTGACATCCGGTGGTCCCCTCCCCGCAGTACTGCGCAGCCCTGGACTCCCTGGTGAACGTGTCGGGCTGCAGCGCCATCCAGAGGACCCAGCGGATGCTGAGGGGACTCTGCACGCAGAAGCCCTCGGCCGGGGTGAGGCTCCCCCACACCCCCCCAGTCCACTCCCGCCGGCCCTGGGCTCACCCCGGAGCCCCCAGGGAACTGGCTGAGCACCCGAGGTGTGTGTCCTCCCCGGGTGGGGCCACTGTGGCAGCAGGGACGTGGCCTTTGGGATTCACAGGACCCGAGCCTCAGTTCCTACATCTGTAAGATATAAGCACCCACCTCCTGGGGACTGGGGAGGATTCAACGACACAGTCCCTGGAAAGCCCCTGGCAGGTGCGGTCGTCCTTGCCGCTGGCGTCCCACCAACATGTTGGCCTCGTTGTCCGGCAGCAGGTCCCCAGCTCGTACAGCCGAGACACCAAGATCGAAGTGGCCGAGTTCGTCAAGGACCTGCTCAGACATTTAAGGAAACGTTTTCACCGCGGAAAGTTCAACTGAAGCCTGAAAAGCCAGCATCGTTATTTGCAGGGGCGGCCCTGACTGTTTAACTTGTAGATTGATTTTGCTTTCAGATGTCACGGATGTCTTGGGGAGGTGGGGAGGAGGGGAGGGAGGGGCGAGATTTCCTTAGCTTGGACCTCAGCCTGAGCGCGGTGGACGCGGGTGGAGGACGCGCCCTGCGCTCCCGGGAACGCACTGTAGCATTACAGCAGGTGCCGCCCTTGCCGGACGCACGGCAGGGGAGGGACCCACGCACACAAGGCCGGCTGAGGCGGGAGCAGCCCGGGCGCCTTTCTTCATGGTTATTTATTTTTGTGTGTTATTTAAACGCGTGTGTTTGTCAGTGTCGGGCATGGGGAGACCGCTGCTGCCGGCACTCGGAGCCGCGGCCCGGAGGCTCGGGGCCCAGCACTAACGCAGTGGCACTAGGCGTCCCTGTACTGAGCACTGTGCACAAATTCTGCTACCTCACTGGGCCCTGGGGCCTCCAGGCCTCCCCCGAGGCAGAGCACAGGAGAGGAGGGGGCCAGAGCAGCCCCTCCTGCCTGCCAGCCCGCAGCCACCCCCCAGCCAAGGAGTAATTTATTGTTTTCCTTTGTATTTAAAGTTAAGTATTAAATATCTTAGCAGAGAGTTAATAACATATAGAAGGGCATCTGGGAACACTGAGGGTGCTGTGTGTGGACATTGAACAAACTGTTTCATTGTGTCAAACCGAAGCCAGAAATAAAGACGGTGACAAACAGGCCTGATCACGTTTGCCTTTTACTTGGGCCTTTGGGGACACTGGTCTGCGGTCTCCCAGTCTGGGGAGCTCTGCGGGGGCAGGCGGGTCAGAGGAGGGGCAGCGGGGGAGGAGACCTGGGCCGAACGAAAGCCACTGGGGCGGGCGCTGTGAGCTGGAGGAAGCCCGCCATCCGCTGCTGCTGCCGGTGAGGAGGGAAGCTTGGGCCGGGGTGTTGGGGTTCAAGGAGGCATCTGGGGTGGGCGGAGACCTAAGAAGTCCTCTTATGGCCATGGCTCCTGAGGGGTGGACGCCTGGGCCTGGCACCACCACGCACCCCCGTCTCCCTCACGACCTGGCGAGGCAGATGAGGACTCGGGCTCGGAGAACGCAGGAGGCTTGCCCAGGTCGCACAGCTGGTTAGGAGTGAGGCCAGGATTTGGACCCAAAACTCACTCCAATTCCAAAGCCCACACACTTAACCACCCTGCCTCTTTCTGTCCAAATGTCATCTGGCCTGAACACATTGTTTCTAAGACTGTCATCAACCTGTTTGGGCACCCTCTGCCCCCGACAGAGAGCTCAGCACCTACTTTCTAGGGACAGCCCACTGCATTTCTGGACCCTGCTCATCGCCTGGGAGCATGCATCCACCCCCTCTGTGGACAAAGGCACAGCACTGACCTGCGGCCTCTAGACCATGGAGAATCTGGAGTGCACAGCTGAGGCCAAATGGCCCTGCTGGACCCTGGCGGGACCCTGGTGGCCCCCGGCTGGGCTGCTCCTCAGAGCAGGTCTTGTTGCTTCTCCCTGGCCCCGGCCAGCAGCTGGCCACCAGGCCCGTAGGCCTTCACATACCTGTCAGCAGTGGTTCCACGGTGACTTTTGGGAGGTGCCCAGGGTGGAGGTGGCTCCAGAGGATGCCTTTGCAGTGGGTGGTGGGTCATCGGGGACCGGCCTCTCTGGGGAGCCCAGAGCTCTGCGGGAGCACCATGGTGACACTCAGAAGTCAGTGAAGCCAGCTGCCCACGAGAGCGAGAGCTCACAGCTGTGTGTCACCCAGGCAGCAGCAGAGGCCACGGCAGAGATGTGGCCAGGGGGCTGATGACTGCGCTGGCTGCTCAGGGACCGGGAACGGCTCCTGCGCACTCCGCACCCCACTTCCAGCCAGGGAGAGGCGAGGGCGGAAGGCACCCGACAGGCGGCACGGGGAGTGGGGCTGCTCAGCCCAGAGAAGGGAAGACTGAGGGGTGAGGGGACAGCAGCTGAGTCTCCCATGGGCTGTCCAGGGCAGGGGACAGGCCTGGTTCTCTGTGGTGCGAAGGGGGTGGCGGAACCGTTAAGTCCTGCTGTGTTTGCTAAGGACCACCTGGGCTGGTGATGACCAGGACTCCACATGCATGCAAGCTGAGCCCAGAAAGAACTACGGAGGGGGTGGTGGAGGCTGCTCTCCCAGGGGGGCCTCCCCTCTGCCGGTGAGCCCACGCCTGGCTTTCTGGGAGGCGGGGAGAGCGGGTGGGAGTCAGGATCTCAGCATTCCTCTGCACCCAGAGTCTAGGATTTTAAGGCCAGGACATTTATGGATGAGTAATGATGTGTTTTTTTTGTTTGTTTTTGAGACAGAGTCTTACTCTGTTCCCCGGGCTAGAGTGCCGTGGCGTCAGCCTAGCTCACAGCAACCTCCAACTCCTGGGCTCAAGCGATCCTCCTGCCTCAGCCTCCCGAGTAGCTGGGACTACAGGCATGCGCCACCATGCCCGGCTAATTTTTTCTATATATATATTTTTAGTTGTCCAGATCATTTCTTTCGATTTTTTAGTAGACACGGGATCTCACTCTTGGTCAGGCTGGTCTCAAACTCCTGACCTTGAGCAATCCACTCACCTCGGCCTCCCAGAGTGCTAGGATTACAGGTGTGAGCCACCGCGCCCGGCCGAGTAATGATGTTTTAAAGCAGAATTTAGGGATCCATCCTCCAGTAGCATCATCTTTGACCCATGTCCTGTCTACCCAACAAAAGAATTCGTCTGTCTATCCAAAGAGAAGATGGAAACTTTTCCAGCGAAATTCTGCATGAATCCCCTGAGAACCAAGCCCAGAATGGAAGCTGGCGTGGGGGAGGGTCCCTCAGGATTGTCCCCGGGACACATTCAGGACACGCAATGGCAGGTGCAGGTGCAGCCACTAGGTGTCCACATCTCCCCACATCCTCAGCCTGCAGCTGGTCCCTTGCACCTCTGAGGCTGCCCCCGGTAGGGGCCCTGTGGTCGCTGTGTGGTGCGCTGGAGAGGATGGGGGCCCCCAGGGCTGAGAGCCGCTCTGCAGAGCCACAGAAGCCAGCGGCCGCGGGCGCGACGGGGAGGAGGCCCAGCCAGGAAAGAGAAAGGAAGAGAAGCAGCGGCAAACACGTGTGTCAGCTGCTGCCACTGGGGACGGACCTCGGGGTATTTGCCGGGAGTTTTCTCTGACCACAGGGCCCACCTCCCTTCCTACACGAGGCGAGCCCCGAGCAGGCCCCGGGGGGGGACGGGGCCTGAGAGCAGATAAGCGTGCGGCTGAGTGGGAGGAGACTCTGGCGTGGGCCCCGCGGGGAGCCCCTTGGCACTGGGAACCCCGGGCCAGCAGGTTTCGCTGGAAGAGGGGCTGGGCTCAAGCGAGAAGCGAGACACGCGAGTTTCCGGTGAACTCTCAGTGTGCTGCTGAGAAGAGGTGTCAGAAAACACTTCCAGCCACTTCAGGGGCTTCTGCAAGGGCCCTGTGAAGGGGCAGGTGCAGGAGGACAAACCCACCGCTCACTCCCCTGTGGCCGAGGCACAGCTCGGGGCCCCATTCACCCGCCTCAGCTTGTCACCTTCCCATTATGGTCACGGGAAGTGTCTTCTACCATCTCCATCTGGCCGGTGCATCGTGACAGATCAAACCTGCTCCTCCCTCCCGTTGCTGCCCCCCACGGAGGCCTGGCCCGTGCGGCAGAGGGTGCTCCAGACAGGGCAGCCCGGGCGGTGGCCGGGGCCCCTCTGGCCTCTCTATTGTCCGCAGCCGTCAGAACCGGTGGCTGGGTCCAGTCCCTCCCACCCACGGCCCACGCAGAAAGCCCCGTTATCTTCATTCGTTTCTCGGCTCCACCCCAGAGCAACAGGGCAATGGTTGCAACGAACTTTCCCAGATCGACTGATTTCTCAGCAGCAAGGGAGGGCCCCATGACGAAGCCATTTGAAATCCCAGAAGCAATTTTCTACTTACGACCTCACTTTCTGTTGCTCTCTGTCCCTTCCCCTCAACGATGCCTTCTCTGACGGAAAGTGACTCTCAGCCTGGGTCAGAGACGCCCCCAGCCCAGGTGCTGCTGCGTGGTCAGAGGTGACGCAGGTCCCAAAATTAAACACGGCGGCGTCTGTCAGCTCTGCTCTCTGCACCGCGGTGGACGAGTGTGCGGGGCCTGGACGCCCTTCCGGAAACCCTGGCGGGAGGAAGGCCTGAGCCGGCCACGGCACCCCCTGCAGACACAGCCCAGTGGCCTGCTGACCACGCTGGCGGAGGGTCCGAGGCCCTGCCCAGGCTGAGGCCTGAGCCAGACAAGCTGCCCTGGTGCCGCATCAGAGAAAACAATGTCTCACTTATTTGCTCTCCTCTCCTGATCTGCTTCCCACACTATCTATAATGCACATGCATTCATTTTCCAATAGGCGACAAAGACACATTTAATTTCAAAGAAGCAAAAAGAACATGACATCGATGTCTGGTGCATGGGGACAGCTGCAAGGCTGGGGCGGGGGATGGGCCCCGCAGTGCTCCCCTGGGTGGACCAGCACCAACACCAGCACCCCCAGCTCAGCCCAGTCCTCCCTGGGAGCCAGCGCTCTCGGGAGAGGAGTCAGGGAACAGTGGGGGCCTGGGCAGGAGGTCTGGACCCCCTCCCCTGGGCTGGGCCCACTTGGGCCGATCAGAATCTGCACTGCCAGAGAGGCAGGAAGGCACCCCATTCCCGGGGGTCTTCACCCAGCCCGGCCTACAGGCGGGGGCAGGGATACTGGTGGGAGTGAGACGGGAAGGACTGGGCTGCCAGTCTCTCTCTGAGGTGTAAGTGACGCCAATGCCTGGGGACAGATGGAGAACTCCTGCAGATGCCTCCGCGGGTCTGCCTCTCTGGGGAGAAGGACCTTCCGCCCGTTTCTCAAAGGAATGAAAAGCCAGCAGCCTACAGAGCCACTTACCGTAAGCTCAGAGGAGCGAGTCCACACCCGGCCTGCCCGCGGTGGCTCCCTCCTCCCCA